TTCTGTCAGAATCCCTTTTGGGTGGGACCTTCTTGCGTTTCCCCTGCGGCGAAGGACGGGGGGGGGGGGCGGGGGCGTAGTTGGGAACGGACGAGTGTTTCCAGCGTGTCACTACGGCAAAGGAGGGGGGGTTACTTGGGTAAGAGAACCACGTTGTCCGGAGCGACGAAAAGCCAAGAGAGAGAGAGAGAGGTGGAGATTTACCAGATAGCTTACAGATGACCGAACGAGAGAGCAGAGCGAAATGTGTTATATTTATAGGCCATGGGTGCCGATGAAATTGAACCTCCGTCGGGGCCGACTGCCGTTGGGTAACGACCTTCGAATTTTTCCCAATAAAAAGAGAGGGGGAACGGAGGCAGATCATTGTATGCAGTCTTCACACGAGTAGGCAAAGCACAACCGTTCCCGAAACTCCCGCACAAAACTCTAAGCACGGGTGTCCGCTACCGGTGAGCTGCGCTGCCCTGCGATGACCGCAGTCGGTAAGGAGTGCGTCAACACATGAGAACGACGATGATCGGCGGACAGCGGTAGCAGCAACACTATCAGCCTCGACAACCATGACACCAGCAGCAGCAGCAAGCAACGGCTATCACACAAGAACAGCCAGAACGACCGCAGCAGCGGCAGCAGAAGCAGAACAAGCAGCGGCAGCAGCAACAACAAATGGTGGCAACAAGCAACAGACCCCACATAAACCTGGAATGACAATCATGACGGGGTCAATCCTGGGACGTAGTTGCAACAACCTTGAAGATGAAAGAGTTGGTCTCCGATGCGTTTCGCTGAGCCACCATGGGCCGGCAGAGGGGATCTTTAGGCCTCATGTACATCTTGAGAGCTTTCTCCTTCACCCAACCAGGACGGAAAGATAAACGACCGTATCGCCCACCGGTTGTTGTGCACCATGTACAACAGTGTGTTGGAGCACGCCATGTTGTGTCGCGGGAAACACGTGAGGCGTGGATAGAAAGACAGGCAGAGAGAGAGAGAGAGAGAGAGAGAGAGAGAGAGAGAGAGAGAGAGAGAGAGAGAGAGAGAGAGAGAGAGAGAGAAACAGAGAGAGAGAAACACACGCACACAGAGGGACAGGCAGAGAGAGAGCGGGGGGGGGGGGGGGGGGGCGT